ATTAATAAGGCACACACTTTTAATCCGTACAATCATTGCAGTACTGTAAATTGTTACTCTATTCACATTGATAATTATTCCATAATTTGTTTTAAAAATTACATAGATGTTTTAATATTTAACTATAATCTGTGTTAGTTGATATTACAGAGTTATTAACAGTTTACATTGCATTTTTCAGAGCTCAAAGATGCTTTGGTTGAATTCTACAAAACGAGACACAGTAAAATTTTCCTTTCGCCCCTTTTCGAAGAAAATGACACGCCTTTGGCTTCTTTCTACATAAGACCTGAATTGAACTCAGCACCGACGAGAAATGATGAAAACACACAAGTCATTTCATTATTGGAGATGTTTAAATTTGAAAAACAAGCTAACCGAGAAATACATGTTATTGCTGATGCTGGTCTCGGAAAAACTGCATTTTCAAACTATTTGGCGATCACGTGGTGTCAAGCTCATTTTCCAGATGAAGACATGACTCGATCTTTTGAAAAGGATGATATAGACTGTATGCAGGAATTTGATTTCTTATTTCTTGTCTTACTGCGAGATTCGAACAATTTATGTTCTATAGATGATATCATATTTGAAAAGATTGTTTCAGATTTGGGTCTAGAAGAAAAGCCTTCCAAGGATTTTCTCCTTAAAGTTTTGAAAAACGAGAAATGCCTCGTTATACTTGATGGACTAGATGAATGGACCCATCCCGAAAAGAAATGTGACAGATCGCCGCGATCATTCCCTCATAGAAATGACCGAAAAAAGTGTACAATATTGACCACTACGAGACCATGGAAATTAGGAGTTTTGAATCTAAATTCGTGTCAAATTGGGAAAAAGGTAGAACTTACAAAACTAAGTTACTACTCAGCAGTCACACTAACAGAAAGGATTTTACAAAGATTGCAATCTCACCCGAATAAGGATGCATTAGAAAGTAATGTCACAGCGTTCATATCAGAAATTGAAAGCAGACAAAACGATGAACTTACTTCTGTGCCTCTACTTTTGATATATACAATTTGTTTATGGTGTGACGGTGTTCAAATAGGAAATTCAAAATGTGAACTCTATATAAACATAGTAGAACTGCTCTTATCAAGAACAATTCAGAAGCATGGAGATCTTCAACAATTGTGTGACCTTTCTGATAGTGACATCCCAGAATACCTTGCTGACTATGAAAACTGTACGAAATACTACCCACTCCTTATGTGTTTGGGGAAATTAGCTTATACTACGTTATTCAATGAAACAAGAGAAAACACGCTAGTATTTGATGGATCAGTTGCTAAAAAATATGTCACACCAGTCGAGATGGAATTCACTCTTCACACAGGAATGTTGTCAGAAAGTACAACAAAAACACTAACAAAAAAGTTTTGTAAAGTATCATTTTCCCACAAAACAGTTCAGGAATTCTTTGCTGCAATATTTATAAGTTCTGAAAATGAGGCTCAGAAAATTGTAATAGAAAAATGTAGAAATATTCAAGACATTCTAGACATGTCAAAAATTTGTGAATTTATATGTAAAATGAATGCTGACCGAATGTGTGCAATATCAAATGATTTGATGTCTGTGATAAATGAAGATGAGAGAACACGCTACTATAGAACTAGGACAGATGACATGGACAGGTACATGTACAATACTCCATTGTATAACATACAGAAACTGTTCATGTCGTGTTTACAAGAAATGCCTGAAAGTGAAAATATTCAATTATGTTTACAAGATTTCTTCATTTACTGGCGCACCATGTGCAGTAAGCAGTTACAACGTTTGTTAAAACAAAATAAAACCAACATAAAATCACTTTTTATAACTTCCAGCAGTTTACGTGAAATTATAGATCTATTCTCTCTCACGGATCTCAGTCATATACAGAAACTTTACTATGGTGGTCACTGGGAGAAGGAGGCTGATATAAACCGGATATTGTTTCCCAGTTTACTGTCCGTTACTTTGTTGTTGGGTATATGGAGGAGTGATGAAGAAAATCTGAGTGAAAATTTAGCGCGAGTACAAAACTTACAATATTTATATATTAACAGCTTCAGGTTATCTCACAAAATACTGGAAACATTTTACAATTTTATCTCCGCTCAAAAATCAATGAAAGAGTTAACATTGTCGGGGTTATACTGTGAAGAACATGGCGACCGTGATTGTAAGAGAGTGAACTTGGACTTGTCTCAACATTCAACTCTATCAATGTTATACTTGCAGGAGTTACATGGGTGGCTACAATTAAATATATCAACACCGTCATTAGTTAATGTTGAGTTACGGTACATCAATCTAGATGAAAGTTCATTGTTACTGTCACGTGACATGGTGAATATTAAACGTGTGGAGTTCAGGAAGATAGAAATGTCTGCAGAAAGTTTACAGAACTTTATTACCGTGCTGGAAAATCTGCCGCAGTCAGTTACAGTAAAGATGATCGACATTAAACCGAGAACAGAATATGTCCGTGTTAGAGAAAATATTCGGAGATCACAAACTTTTCATGTGTTACAAGACTACGACCATGGCTTGCGGGGACGGGTGATTGAGTTCAAAACAATAAAAACAAGTAAAGAATAAACAAGGACACACATGGTAAAATAAACTGAAGAAATGACTTCAATAATTTTAAATGAAAATAATTTAAAAATGGACACTTCAAAACAAAATGGCGACTTCGTTTACGTTATACATGTAGATCTACTGTATAGTTTGGTCATTTAATTTACAAACATTTATTTCTGTTTAAAGTTTAATTAAGTGACAGTTGTTTATAAATAAATAAATAAAAACATTTTAAAAGGATAAATTGTTCAAGGAAGGAAGTTTTTTTACCGGAACTTAATGGATTTATCTTGGAAATAATTCACAGGTAAGAGATTTTTTATTGAATTATTTATTTTATATTATTTCATTTTAAATATATCTAAGTATTGAACTACATTATTCTAATTTTATCATGATATTTTAAGATTTTCTTTTAATTAAATAAATAATCAATAATAATAAATTTAACCTTTAATATTTTCCATAATTTTTCATTTTTATTAGAGTAGATTTTATAGTTAAAATAACTTAGTCAGTAAAGACACATGAATATAGGAACAATTGTTAAATAAATTCTACCTCAAATATTTTTTAAGTCCATCGACATATGGTTTTGAAACTTTGCACACTTGTTCACCATTATGCCTCAACCTGTACACAAAAGGAGGTAACTTCATCAAGCATTTTGACAGAATTATATCCCTTTTTTACTTAAATGTATGTTAAAGTTGGTGTACCACCTCAAATATTTTCTAAGTCTATCAACATATTGCTTTGAAACTTTGCACACTTGATCACCATCATGATCCTAACCTGTAAACAGAAGGAGGTAACTCTATCAAGCATTTTGACAGAATTATGCCCCTTTTACTTTGATTTTATGTTTAAGTTGGTGTACCACCTCAAATATTTTCACAGTCCATGAACATATGGCTTTGAAACTTTGCATACTTATTCAACATATTGTCCCGAACGTGTAGACAGGAGGAGGTAACTCTATCAAGCATTTCATTTGATTTTCGGCCTTAATTTGACTTAGAATTATTTTAAAATTTTGTACCACCTCAAATATGTTCAAAGTCAATCGACATGTGGCTTTCAAACTGTGCAGACTTGTTTACCATCATGTCTTTAAACGGAAGAAAGGGGGTGGTAACTATATCTTGAATTTTGACAGAATTATGCCCCTTTTTTAACTAAGTATATTTACATAAAAATTTGCGTACCGCCTCAAATATTTTCAAAGTCCATTTACATATGGCTTTGAAACGTTGAAGACTAGTCCACCTTCATGCCCAATACCTGTAGACAGGAAATGGTAACTTAATTAAGTATTTTAACAGAAATATGCCCCTTTTTCAACTTAGAATATAGCTTAAGTTTGCATACCTCCTCAAATATTTTGAAAGTCCATGGACATATGGCTTTGAAACTTTGCAGACTTGTTTGCCATCATAACCACAATGTATAGACAGGAGGAGGTAACTATCAAGCATTTTGACTATGCCTCTTTTTCAACTTAAAATTTACGTTAAAGTTTGAGTACTTAACCTCAAATATTTTCAAAGTCCATTGACATATGGTTTTTGAAACTTTGCAGAGTCTTGTTCACCATCATGCCCCCAAACTGTAGACAAGAGGAGGTAAATCTTTCAAGCAATTTGACAGAATTATGCCCCTTTTTCGACTTAAAATTTACATTAAAGTTTGTATACCACCTCAAATCTATATGTGAAGTCCACTGACAATATGGCTTTGAAACAAGTTGAAATTTTATACACATGTTTGAGAGCATAATAGGTCACTCTCCAAGGCATGGATTTGAAAAATGTTTTGGCCCTTTTAAACTTTGAAATAAAATATTATTTTGCATTTTGGCTCTTTTACAATCAGGCACTGAGAATAATCGAGCATGCTGACCTAACGATAGCTTTTGTTTCTTAATGGAATGTCTTCATACTTGGACATTACAGCCCTTCTGAGTGACTCTTGTTTAATTATATGAGCCGCGCCATGACAAAACCATCATAGTGCGTTTGCGACTCCACGCGGTCTAATCAGGATTCATGCTGTTCGCTTACAAACCCTATTACAAGTAAAGAAACTGATAGCGAACAACATGGATCCTGATCAGACTGCGCGGAAGCGCAGGCTGGTCTGGATCCATGCTGGTCGCAAACCCATTATGTTGGTTTTTACATGGTGATGTGTTTGCGATGTAAAAGTCAGATTTTTTTCATTGTTTCAAATATGTCCAACTCATATTTACAAAAGGGTATTTTGATACCCGTAAAAAAGTATTTATTGAAGTAGGCAAGAGTTTTCAAGAGTTTTAAATCATGACGTTACATTTCTCAACGGCAGTTATTAAAGAATTCTGCCTCCTGTAATAGTATTTATATTTCATGGAAATCAGTATACCACACATGTACTTGTAAGTAAAATGTTGAACTAGATAAGAATTGTACAATTCGTGAATTTTTTTCAATTTATTCAATATATGTGTTATTTCTTGTTTCAGTGGCCTTGGATAAAAGTTTACTATTCTTTGGTGTGCAGAATCTCCCGTGACATTTTATATGGAGCATTGTGTGATGATAGATCAATTCGTAGAGATGTATTTGAAAAACATCCTCTTGTCTTGGTAAGACTTTTCAAATATCTTTTTGATGGACAGCCTAATAAACTGTTTATATAAATTAAAGGCCCATTATGCCCCGATATGCTTTTATTTTAAATTCTCAATAGCTGTCTATTTCTGGTGTTCCGTTAAAATTTTCGAAAATTAACCCATTAGCCAACAACCTTAATCACCTTTTGCTTCATGTAATTTTTGGCATTGAGAACAATTAAACTGATATAGTATTTTCTATGAAAGTCTAAATACTATTTTGTTTACATTTAATTGCTACTTTTTGGACATTCTATTTCACATTCAACCCTACTTTCTTCAGGTAAAAAGAACCTAACAACTTTTTAAACTGTTAGTTAGGCCAGTATTTAACAAAACATGTTTTTCCTATCTAAAGAATTGTTTTTCCATTCTGAGGCATAATGTGCCTTTAACATAGTTATGCTCACTTAGAAGAATTGGGGTACATTGCACTAAGTGATTTATTGCATCACACTTATCAATCGGTTGGTTCTTCTGTCAGTCGGTCGTAGTCAAATCCGTTTCCAGTCAATAACTTAAGAACGCTGCTAACTTGGTATTGAGATTAGTTATGACCTGCAGAAGACCCCAATTGTTTTTAGGTCAGAGTTCAAGCTCACATTGAATGTCAAAATCGTTTACGATCAATAACTTGACATCCAATGGGTCCCTGGTCCTTAATGTTCACAACTGCTTTGGTTTTGGCCAGTAGATGATTCCTATTGATTTTGAGGTCAAGGGATCAAAGGTCAAGATCATATTTATATTGTATTTCAAAACAGATTCCAACCTGAATAACTTGACAACTAATAGGCCCTTGGCTATAAATTATCCCAAGTGCATTTGTCTGGGCTAGTAGATGATTTCTATACACATGCCAGTATGGGGTCACTAGGTCAAAAGTCAATGTAAAAATGACCTGACAACATGACTAATTGGCTGCCAGTAGGAGACATAGATGCTTTACAAACATATCTTGTACAATTGAATCTTCAAGATAACCTCAGTGAAAATATGCAAAGATAAAATGCATAATTCCCACAATTTTAGAAGGGATAAGGAGGCCTTTGTTAAAAGCATATCAACGATTATATCGATATCGTATTTATACTAAATATCAATGACAAATTGATATGTCGAGTAAAATGTATCAATAGTTCACCTTGGTACCCTTTTACATGGTACATGATTCCCCTATGATGACTGTCTGCCAATGCATTAAATGATTTGTACTGTATATCAATGCATATTGCATTCATGCTCAGTTTTCTGTTGGTCTTTAGCTTGACTGAACAAAATATATAAAGTTGGGTTCATCTACGTCGGTATACAAATTTCAAATTAAATTCATTGTGCAGTTTTAATTTATTTACCATCAGTTCTTCCTTTCTTATTAATAAGGTATAAACTTCAATTGTGTATATATATATTGTATTGCTTTAACTTTTTAGCTCACCTGTCACAAAGAGATATGGTAGGCTTTTGTGATCGCTTTTCGTCCGGCGTCCATCCGTTCGTCGTCCGTCCGGTTAAAATAAATGCCCTGGGGTCAAAATTGCCCCGCATTGGGGGTCATTGATTTCCTTATTTGTATATAGTAAAAACTTAAAAATCTTCTTTAAAAACCCAAAAAGCTAGATTTTAGATATTAAAGCATGAAACATCTTCTAGTGGGTGTCTACCAAGTTTGTTCAAATAAAAACCCTGAGGAAAAAATTGGCCCCGCCCCAGGGGGCCATTGATTTTCCTTATTTGTATATAGTAAAAACGTAAAAATTCTTCTTTTTGAAAAACCCAAATAGCTAGAGCTCAGATATAAAGCACGACACATCTTCTAGTTGGTGTCTACCAAGTTTGTTTAAATTAAAATTGGCTGCGGCCCAGTGGATCATTGCTTTTCCCTTTATGTATATAGTAAAAACTTTAAAAACTTCTTTTATAAACCGCAAAGAGCTAGAGCAAAGATATTTTGCACGAAACATTATTTATTGGGTGTCTACCAAGTTTGTTCAAATAAGGGCCCTTGGGTAAAAATTGGCCCGCCCCAGGGGTAATTGATTTTTCTTATATATTTATAGTAAAATCTTACACAATCTTCTTATAAAAAACTTAAGAGCTAAAGTTTAGATACTAAGCATGAAATATCTTCTTGTGTCAATGTGAGTGTCAACCAAATTTGTTCAAATAAAAGCCCTCATAAAAACTATCATAAGTTAACAAAATATATAAAGTTCATCAAGTAGCGACGGTTACCGCCGATATAGTTTTAGACATGCCCATTTTAATGTTTATATTCTTTGCTAATTTTATCATTTTAAAACCTCTCATTGATGTGGCAAAAGTATTTTATTTCAATCCTGTATCGGTTATTGATTGATAGAAAAGTATCATTCTAACACTATCGGAAATGTTTCTATATAAACAAAGAAGGCCCGAGGCGTGCATTATTCTGCAACAATGCACTCGCCGTTCTTATTATCTCCCTGTGTATTTTCACATTGAGGGCGCCATTTTGTTTGAAAAATCTGATAAATAAAAACAATTTTTTGTCGAATTTTGTTGTGAAAACTATCTAGAATGATAGAAAATGGTCTAACTAAGAAAATAAATCCGAACACCAATATCTTTAATTCAGTCGTTAACGCTGTACAGACGTTTAAAGTGTTGTTTACGTGACGTCACAAGATGTAGCGCCAAAACAGCACGTTGCAAAACAATCAAAATCAAGTACGCTATTTTAACGTCGCAGACGAGTTAAGTTTTACATTTATTTCACTTTTAATAATTTGTATTTCGCTTGGAAAATTATAGACTGAAATAAAATAAACAAACAAAGTTTTATCAACGTTTTCAAAATTCGTTATTCTCAAAATGTTTCTACACACGGTAGATTTAACGACAGTTTTTTTTTCAACCCACTGGAACGGCCTTTAAAGAACGTTTCTATTGGAAACTCTGAGGCGAAAACAAATTTAACCGCCAAACATAAAGTCCAACTTTATAATAATAATTATACTTTTTCTTGACGTGTTAGAATGGAAATAGATATTAATTCTTCGTGCATTATTGTATAATAATGCACGTTTTTCGTTCAAATGCTTTGTAATTAATCACTCAGGCCTAACGCCCTTCGTGATTATATTACTACGCATTTGAACTCAAACCGTGCATTATTCTACAACAATGCACTCAGAATTGATATCTATTTCCTAAACAATACATTCATTTCTTTTATGTCAAAGAATACAATCAGGCGCAAATCACAAAGTTATATCAGGTATGTTTGCAGATCTTACTTAAATTACAATAACATTTGAGCCGTGTCAAGACAAAACCAACATAGTGGGTTTGCGACCAGCATGGATCCAGACCAGCCTGCGCATACGCGCAGTCTGATCAGGATCCATGCTGTTCGCTTACCAACTCTATTACAAGTGGAGAAACTAACAGCGAAATGCATGGATACTTATCAGTCTGCATGGATGTGCAGGCTGTGTCTGGATCCATGCTGGTCGCAAAGCATTGCGTTGGTTTTGTCGTGACGCGGCTAATTTTTTTCTTTCATTTGAAACACTCTGGACCGGCTCATTTATGATCTTTAAGCCTCCTGGCGGAAACATATTAAGCCTGCATTAATATTTCAATGTTTTCCATAATACATGTATGATGAATGGTTCTGTCCAAATTGAATGATTTACAAGTCAATTTAAGTAATTTGGATTGGTTAGCTTGAAAATAAACAAGAAAAAAGTCAGTATATTCAAACACATATGAGCCGTGTCACGACAAACCCAACATAATGGGTTTGCGACCAGCATGGATTCAGACCAGCCTGCGCATCTGCGCAGTCTGATCAGGATCCATGCTGTTCGCTATCAGTTTCTCTACTTGTTATAGGGTTTGTAAGCGAACAGCATGGATCCTGATCAGACTGCGCGGATGCGCAGGCTGGTCTGGATCCATACTGGTCGCAAACCCATTATGTTGGTTTTGTCGTGACACGGCTCATATAAATACACTGTTATAGTGTTAGAATAGGAAATTCCTGCGACATGATGTTACATTTGTGACTTCTTGCTTTCCTTTATTTCAGAAAATCAGCTATATAAAAATCTACAGGGACAATGAGGACAATCACAACTGTTTGACTTTTTATCCATCAATCTCCAGATGATTATCAGCGGGATGTTCTGAACGACAAAGAAGTTAAAGTTCTTAAATAGTAACCAATCTTATGATTTCACACCTGATACCTGGCTGTTCGGGGGACATATGTCAAATAAATATGTGATTAACAGCCGAAGAAAAATCCCTAAATCATCATTACTTGCCAATACATTGAATAACTTTCTGGTTCCTGGCTTAATGGAAGGAAACAAAATAGAAAACTTTTGCATTACACAGTTATCTTGTATCTGTTTTGTGCAATTAGAATTTGAATCTTGATAACAATTACACCAAGACCACTGTTAAATATTTCAGTATTCCTTTGAAAAAATCTTTTATGTAAAAAAGGTCTTATTTAATAATTTAATTTATGAATTAGATATACAGTACATGTATAAATTTGTTTATGCAATTTTAGAATAATATTATATAACAAGACTTGTTAAGTAATTTTTTATTAACGGCCCATTATGCTTCAGAAATTATGTCAGTTTTATTTAAATTTTTGAAAACAGTTTCAAAAAATAAACCTTTTGCCATATACATAATTTAAAGATAGTGATGCTGATTTTTTATGCTCCCCGAAAAATTTCGGGGGAGCATATAGTCGGCGCCTTGTCCGTCTGTCCGTCCGTCCGTCTGTCCGTCCGTTTTCTTGTCCGGAGCATAACTTGAAGACCCTTGGAGATAATTTGGTTAAACTTCATACAGTGGTAGAGGGCATTGAGGGGGAGTGCAGTGTCAAAGAACCATAACTCTATTCTGCCCGGTTTTTGAATTATCTCCCCTTATAGAAAAATCTTGTCCGGGGCATAACTCTAAAACTATAAGAGATATCAACATGAAACTTTGTAGGTGAATAGATCTCAGTGGGTAGATGTGCAGTGCATAAGAACAATAACTCTTTTTGTCCTAATTTTGGAGTTATTGCTCTTTGTTAATTTCAACACTTTGAACTTTGTCCGGAACATAACTCTCAAACTATAAGAGATATCAAGATGAAACATTGTAGGTAGATAGATCTCATTGAGTAGAAGTGCAGTGCAAAAGAACCATAACTCTGTTAAGCCTTATTTTTTAATCATCTCCCCTTATAGAAAAATCTTGTCCGGGCATAACTCTAAATCTATAAGAGATATCAACATGAAACTTTGTAGGTGAATAGATCTCAATGGGTAGATGTGCAGTGCATAAGAACAATAACTCTTTTTGTCCTAATTTTGGAGTTATTGTCCTTTGTTAATTTTAACACTAAACATTGTCCGGAACATAACTCTAAAATTATAAGAGATATCAAGATGAAACATTGTAGGTAGATAGATCTCATTGAGTAGAAGTGCAGTGCAAAAAAAACATAACTCTGTTAAGCCTCATTTTTGAATTATCTCCCCTTTTAGAAAAATCTTGTACTGGACATAGCTGTAAAACTATAAGAGATATCAACATGAAACTTTGTAGGTAGATGTATCTCAATGGGTAGATGTGCAGTGCATGAGAATCATAACTCTGCCTTGCCTAATTCTGGAGTTATTGCCATTTGTTTATTTTTACTTTTTGAAGTTGTCCGGAACATAACTGGAAAACCATAAGAGATATAAAAAAGAAACTTTGTAAGTTGATAGATAACAGTGATTAGAAGTGCAGTGCAAAGAACAGTAACTCTGCCTTTCCTAATTTTGGAATTATTGCACTTTGAACTTTTTCCAGGGACATAACTCAGAAAACTACAAGAGGTGTACTTTCCTGTGTCCAAAACCTATTCGGGGAGCATCACCCGGCTCAAACCGGGCTCTTGTTTGTTTAGGCAATTGGTATAATTAAAGTGAATCAAAAGTAGTATGATAGTCAAAATACTACTAAAAGTGTAATGTCCCCTTCGAAAAAGAGTGTTTTGCTAATGTCAGTCTGTCTGTTGGTCTGTCCGTCGGTAGACCACATAGTTTCCGCTGAATATCTTGACAACTGTTTATCACAGAGTCTTCATATTTCACATAGTGATTGGCAATAACTAGTTGATGATCACTATTGATTTTAAGTCACTTGGTCAAAGGTCAAGGTCACAGGAGCCATAAATGTCAAAATGGTTTCCGTTGATAATCTTGAAAAGCATTTATCACAAATTTGTCATATTTTACTTAATGATTGGCCATAGTTAGTAGATGACGCCTATTTATTTTGGAGTCACTTTGTCAAAGGTCAAGGTCACAGGAGCCATAAATGTCAGAATGGTTTCCGTTGTTTATCTTGAAAAGTATTCATCACAAAGCCTTCATATATCATTATTGATTGGTCATAACTAGTAAATGACCCCTATTGATTTTAGGGTCACTAGGTCAAAGGTCTAGGTCACAGGGGCCTTGAATGGTAGTATGATTTCTGCTTATGATCTTGAATACTATTTATCACAAAGTCACATAGTGATTGATAATAACCAACAGGTATTGCTTTTGGGGTCACTAGGTCAAAGGTCAAGGTCACAGAGGCCTTTAATGTCAGAATGGTTTCCACTTATTATCTTAAAATCTATTTATCACAAATTCTTCATATTTCACATACTGGTTGGTTTAATAACTAGTAAGTGACCCCTTTTGATTTTAGGGTCACTAGGTCAAGGTCATAGGGTTCTTGAATATAAGAATTGTGTCCGCTCATTATCTTGAAAGCCATTTATCACAAAGTCTTCATATTTCTAATATTGATTGGTCATAATAATAAGATGACCCCGATTGGTTTTGTGTCACTAGTTCAAAGGTGAAGGTCACAGGGGCCTTAAATGTCTCATTATCTTGCAAATTATTTATCATAAAGTCTTCATTATTTTTGTTTTTCCATCATTGAACATTTCCATGTACCCATTTATGGAAAGTTTCTATAACAAAATTACCAATAATATGAGTCAAGGGCTAGAAAAGGGGGCATATATGTCGTTCGACATTTCTTGTTTACAATTTATTACCTTTAATACACATTACTGCAGGTTCAGTGCTATTTTCACTTGTTAAACATCTAACATGCTCTTGAAACATTATTAAAACATTATTTAAGAAATGCTTGACTTTTCTGGAGAATATTTATTTTCTGAGGCATAATGTGCCTTGTTAGTATAGCGCAGTGTTTGTTGCGTATGGGAGTTGCGTTTATTGAACGCCGCCTTTCCTTGTTGATCAAGTTTATCATATTTTGTTAATTTGCCTTAAGGGTATTACAAATGTATTGTTTTGTAAAAAGTTTTTGAAGTGTGTATGATATTTACAGATTTGTTTTTTTACAGTTTCGCTCTTCTTTGTAATAATTTTCTGAACAAACATTCACGTAAATTGTTTTTATTTTTGTGATACACGGAAATTATGTATATGAAAATACATTATAATTCATAATGATTTTGACAGGTTTTATTGCCCAGTATAACAAGCTTAAAGTATATAAGCTGAGTCACCAAATGATGGTTATATAACAAACAACATTTTGTGCACAGCCATACTACATGTTATAAGTCTTTATAACCAAATAATAATTTTGTTATCTTGCTCCCTTTGCTTTGAAACAATTAATGGTAATATGCATTTGCAGTGTATATTTTTAGTTATAAAGATTCTGAATTTGCACATATAATCTGAGCTGATAGGTGAAAATTAAATAACTGTTTAAATATGGCTATATAACCTATAAGTAATTTGATAATGAATTTATAATACAGCAAAGTTCCTTCATTACAGAAAATAAATAGTTAATAAATTGACAGAGAGGTGTATATAGTATATATAAACGTCATGATTATCCAATGAAAAGTGATGTTTCCAGCATACAGTAATGTTTCATTAAACTGTATATTTGAGTTACCATGTATTTATTTTTAGCTAGTGTATGTATTATTTTATTTATAAATAATCTTTGTTTGTGGAGTGATATCACTTTAAAGCTACAAGCCTCATAGATAAGGAGTGCTTTCGAATAGTGTACAATTTAGAGATAAATTTGATAACAATATTAGCAGACTTTAGTATTATTGATAATACATAGTCATTTCTGAACAATAGCAATATCAAATTGCACGTTTTGTCTAATCTGTACATAATATGTGTAATGGATAGATATGATAGGAATAGCATGCAATTCAAGCAGTTACTTTTAGATTCATGCTTTTTTTTTTCATGAAAATTTTGAAATTGTATTTAAAGTTAAATATTGTGAAGTGAAAAAAGTAATTGACACATTGCAAACAGCGCCTATAATCCACGTAAATTACCAAAAAGAACTATGTTGTAATGCCCCTCCTTACATGTAAGCTAGTAACGAAGAAGTATGTTGATGTAACATTCTGTATTTAAATATGTCATTAATCATACAAAACATGTAAATTAATAATTTAATCCTATATATTTTTACTTTTCTTTAAATCCTGGTACAATATTTTCAAATTTTATTTTATTGAAATATTTTAGCATCATCTGGAGACATGCAGCTTTAAAGAGTTGAATATATTTTTTATTTGAATTCGTTTATATAGATATGCTTATTACATAAATTTCTGTGTTAATATCTGAGTGTATAGAAAGTTAGATAATAAGAGGAAATGTTTTCGGTTGAATGAAATATTTTTAATATATTTTCACAAAACATGATGAAATTCCATATATTTCACGAGCCAGAAAGGCGAGTGAAATATATAGAATTTTATCATGTTAAGTGCAAACATATTCTATATTTCACGAAAAAATAACCTTTTTATTTAGTTTTTCTTGGAAGAATAAAAGTGGTTTACGAATACACCTATTTATCATGCAGTTGCAATTGTACAGAGTGCAGTCATGCATTGATTATTTATAGGTGCATGAAGCGGTTCGAATTCAATACAAAATTTATCGTAGCCATTAAACTGTCATGAAAAGAAAAAAACAACTTGACCAGATAATTTCTGATGTTTAATGAAATGAATAGCTGAAGATACTCATTACAAAAAAGAAACATCTAAAAAAGTATTCCTACAAATATATATATTTATTGGCTTATATATAAATATATATGAGTTTTGACTTCACCCACTTTCATATTCATTTCTCATATTTGTATTTTCACAAAAATGATATGTATATTTAGCTAATAATAACATCATATTTCATGGGTTGAATTTAATAAATTCTCTTATTTTTCCTTTTACTGTAAATTATTATAGCAACAGCCTCCACATGTTTATATTTATAAACCCTTTAAAAAGTACCCCAATTTGATCTGGAGCGTAATACCTAATGTTTTTGAAATACAGTTTGCATATAATAATTTTTTGAAACTTCATTGGTTGATATAATTCATTGAGAAAGAGTGCAGTACACACAAATGATAATTGTATCCATCATAATTTTAAGTTATTGCCCCTATTGTTTTGAAAGTGACAAAGTGTGTCTTCTTTGTATAGCACAAAATGTATTTGAGATGTAGACTGGAAACTTCCAAAAAAGTTTTGTTCTAAAGATATCCTTTGTTTTCGTCATTTGTAGTTTGTCTTCTTTTTTAGAACTCAAAATGTATTTGAGGTATAGACTTGAAACTTCATTGTGATTTTTGTTTTGAAAACAAAATTTATTTAAGATATGTGAAATAATGTTATTCAGGAGGAGTTTGTTGTGAAAGAATGATAATTAACCATTTGTATTTTATGAGTTATTGCACTTTGAAATTTTTCATGCTTTGTCATTTTGTTATAATTTTCATGTTGAATTGTTGTAATGTTTTCGTTTGCATAATTTTTCTCCAGCTTTAGCTTTAGGTTTATTATTTTCAAACGATTGAATGATTATACAGTTGACAAGAATATCAAGTCTCCATTTTACAATATGAATACTTTATTTTCTTTGTGTTCAATAACTCAAAACATTATTGAAATATAACAGCTTGAATTTGTATGGATGAATATCTCTAGTAAAATAAAGAAAAATAAAGAAAAACAGAATCCTTAATGAACGCACAAAAAGACAAAATTGAAAAAAAAAATGTTACAGACTCGGAGCTTTTAAGTTGTAAGCCCTTTCACATGTATTGGATCGTCAATGCACCAGTTTTTTTTTTTTTTTTTTTTTTTTTTTTTTTTTTTTTCAAAATTTTATCCCGAGTGGCGAACAATTTAAGTCTTCTATGACTTCCTTTTGTATATTTCTGTGAAAATTAAATGCTGTTTAATGGTTTATATTTAGATTAACTGATTTCCATGTTTTCTTTCAGTTTGTCAATCAAATGATGACATCATTATATTATTTTTTTTTGACATTCAAAAATAGCTAGACAACAGTTGCAATGACTATTAAGATAATAATTTGATAAGAAAAAAACATCTGAATACATACAATAATATATTATATGCATAAAACATTGTACAAATTTCCAAAACTTTGGAGTTCAATGAAACTTCACAGGATTGATAGTTGTGCATAGTATCTTGATTTTCTGCTTGAATTATTATTGGCTAAGTTATGTACCATTAATGGTCAATTTTTGAGTAAAATGAGCTTGTAAGCACTTTATCTCCAAAAGCTCCGGGGTAATTTCAATGAAACCTCGCAGGATTGTTGGTCACCATGCCTAGTTGTGCATAGTATCTTGATTTTTCAATAAATTAGCTTTGTTCATCGTTCATCTCCAAAACTACTTGGGTAATTTCAGTGAACAATAATAAAACTGTTTGCATAGTGCAATGATTGTTTGCATGATATTTCCCAGTAATGGGCCATTGATGATGATTTTTTATTTTAGTAAAATTTGTTTATAGACTAATACTCCTACATTTCTAATGGAATTTCAGTTAAACTTTGAGAATGGTATTTATCAAAAGCGGTTTTATCAGTTCTTTGGATATATGTCAAAGCTTCCTTTCAGTGGTAGAAGTCTCTTTTCAGCGACAGCTCTGGTTAAAATTAAAACTAATAACTTCTAAGTTATGATTACTCTTAATTAGATATTTATGTTTCAAGAATAATAAAATATCAACATTCTTAAATTAATCAATGGATTTGTCCAGCTACCTTTTAGACATGTCAATATTGAGTTGTTGGTATTGATAAAGGAAACTATGTGTCATTTGTCCCTAACTGCTGTGGGTTCGAGTCCCATCATGAACTAGGTATACTTCCAGCTAGTTTACAGAGCGTTGGTGGTTCTACTCAGGTTTTTGTTCGTGCCTTGAATTATACTCAGAGGGACATTTTGATGACTTACATCACAATAAAAGCTTGAAATTCGTCATATGACATCACATTGTTGGTGTGACGCAGAACCCAACAAAAAATAATGTCAGTCTTCCAACAGTATAGAACCTGGTCAGACTTCAGGGATGTGCAAGCTGGCCTGGCTTTGTACTGGTAGCCAAGATTTATCACTTTCATGTTTATATAATGACTGTAGTTGTAAGATAACTTTATCGTGTCACTGTTTATATACTGTAAATATTAGACATTATTTCACCAAGAAATATAACCATATGATATTGTTGTTTTTATACTGTAAATATTAGACATTATCACATACCTTTGCCGATTTTGCGACTCCGTAAAAATAGTACTGCACGGCCGTGCATATATATTTTTATGTGACGTCATTCATTCATATATTTTGATGTAACGTCATTTGTGTTATATAAGCATTGCGTAAAGAGGCGCTAAATGTTAGCATTTTACTATTGGCGCGTCAATGAAAAATGGTTCTTTATCACTTTAAAAGGTTTTTATTCTGGTATGTGATAAATAGAATATTAAATTTGTGTACGTTCATTACTAAATTTATTGAACTTGTTGCATAAAATATTGTTATACTCGCCCGAGTCTCACATAATATAATTTTATTCAACTCGTACAAAAAATTCAGTACTAAACTTACACTCATTCAATATCCTATATTTATTTTACCAAGGTAGATAACCATATCATGTCAATTTTTGTTTTAATGATGATGCTGTAAGAACTGAATTAAGCAATTGGAATATGTTAACAACATATTCCATTGTTTAATAATTAATGTCAAGTGCTTATAAAATATTGTTTTCAATATATTTTTTGATAATAAAATTATGTAACAGATTCTTATGTTAGTTATAATTATGTATTTACACCAGTACTAGATAGTCCAGGAAATTGAGTCAATAATGATTCTATTGTGCCCCCACTTTAATTATCCCCTGCAGTAAGTTTACCCAGTTATTCTGGGTTTGAGATTTATTGCGAGAAATTGTTATTTCATGACACCAGTACTAGATAGTCCAGGCAATTGAGTCAATAATGATTTTATTTATTTTACAAAGCCAATGAGTTAAAACCAAAAATACTTGCAAGTATTTCATTAGTTCAATCAAAAAATTATGATTATGTTGATATAAAAGGGAGATGTTTACTAGATACTTTAAAGAAATTGTGGACAACTACAACAAACAATCTGCCTTCACGAAAGCTCGCCTCTTAGCTTTCATGTAAACTTAATTAATTAAAAAAAAATGCCCATTGTTAGACAAGAGCGGTCAGTGATCGTATGTGTCACCATGTACGATAGCTAATTGCAATTGCAAATGACAACTACTGTGTAGCAGGATACACAAAAATCATAAACAAGGCATAACGCATTTTTTATTTAAGGGCCATAACTCAGCCAAAATCATTCAACTGGAAAACCCATGTTATCTGCGCAAGACCTTGAGCTACCACACAATCCTGTAGTTTCATGGAACTTGCATTAGCGGTTTAAGATGGGTAGTGAAGTTAAATTTTAACAAGAACTGTCGGAGGACAGTAACGCTCGACTATTTGAAAATTTGTCACAAGGGTGTTTCATTGAGTATAATAATGCTTACCTATATGACTACATAAAATTGTACGAAAAGGTACAAACCCTTCAAGTTTCAATACAATCACAGAGAACAAGTGTGTGAAGTTTCAATCCATTCCCTTCAGTAGTTATGGAGATACCAGCTTACACACAAAAACTTAACCAACGAATTTATGAATCGAAAAAGGGGAATAATTATGCGAAAAAGTAAATCAGAGTTATGGGACTTGTGCCAATCATCTTAAAATAATCACAGAGACCAAGTGTGTGAAGTTTCAATCCATTCCTTCAGTAGTTATGGAGATACCAGCTTACACGCAAAAACTTAACCAAGAATTTCTAAGATAAAAAGGGGCATAATTATGCAAAAAAGCAAATCAGAGTTATGGGACTTGTGCCCAATCATTTTAGATAATCACAGAGACCAAGTGTGTGAAGTTTCAATCCATTCCCTTCAGTAGTTATGGAGATACCAGCTTACACGCAAAAACTTAACCAATAATTTCTAAGTCGAACAAGGGCATAATTATGTAAAAAGCAAATAAGAGTTATGGGACTTGTGCCAATCATCTTAGATAATCACAGAGAAAAAGTGTGTGAAGTTTCAATCCATTCCTTTAGTAGTTATGGAGATACCAGCTTACATACAAAAACTTAACCAAGAATTTCTAAGTCGAAAAAGGGGCATTTTTTATGTAAAAAAAAGCAAATCAGAGTTATGGGACTTGTGCCAATCATCTAAGATAATCACAGAGAACAAGTGTGTGAAGTTTCAATCCATTCCCTTCAGTAGTTATGGAGATACCAGCTTACACGCAAAAACTTAACCAAGAATTTCTAAGTCGAAAAAGGGGCATAATTATGTAAAAAAGCAAATCAGAGTTATGGGACTTGTGCCAATCATCTAAGATAATCACAGAGAACAAGTGTGTGAAGTTTCAATCCATTACCTTCAGTAGTTATGGAGATACCAGCTTACATACAAAAACTTAACCACCAATTTCTAAGTCGAAAAAGGGGCATAATTATGTAAAAAAGCAAATCAGAGTTATGGGACTTGTGCCAATTATCTTA